GGTGGCGGCGTGTCAGCCGGAAAGTCGGAAACCGCGTCGACTGCAATGACAACCACGCTTATAAGTGGGCAAAATGACGAAAACTCCCGCTTTTTCTACTACTTCAACCGAAGTACTTTTGAGTACAAATGCTCAGCGACTGCGACAGGAAGCGTGGACTCGAAGTATATCGCCCAAATGCCAAGGGCGGTGCGCCTCGCCGTCTGCAACCTACATCGCGAGTTGCGGTCATGCGATTACTTCGGTGACGTGTTCGCCAAGGTGGACTCCGACTGCTGGGTGGCAGCAAAAAAAGCGGGGGTCCGCGAGGTGTACGCCGTGTTTGCCCTAAAGAATGCACACCTGACCGACATCAGCGAGGAGATGCGGAAACTGTGTGCTGTCGACTTCGATGGTGTCTTCCTCGCTGACTGACTGATGATGACCGTTTGATTGAAGAACTGTTGTAAATTCATTTGTTCGGTGATCATGTACGCCACAGTAAAATCTACGATTTTATGTTGTTTTGAACGATGATCGCAAGAATCAAATATCTGGCGTATTTCTGTTTTCCGGTGTTTAGTGTTATAAGTATAATGATGCGTATTAATACATTTTATAGGTCGTTTTCGATGGATATGTTTGCAACGTTGGTCGATTCCGCGTTGGCTTGTGTCATGGCGCAAGTCTCACGATACAACACCGAAGAGTTGAAGAATTTGGTGAATAACGACGAACGTCTCGAAGAGCTGGTCAACAATCTTCCTCAGGTCTGCTATCTGTATTGAAACCGTTTGCCTGCAGTGCGATGTGTTTTCGCAGGTTAGTTTTAAGAAGTATTATGGGCAGTAGGTCATGCCTTGCGGTGGTTATATGCACAAGGAAGATGATGGACAGAATTTTGTTTTAGACCGATCACCGACTGCATTCCAGTGCCCATCGTCAGGGTGCAGGTCTTCGTTTTACAACTAACTAATATTTGTTTACACTAATACTATATTGAAGGAGCACTTGCAGGCATTCTCGTTTGGGCTCTGATCATGGATACGGTAGTTTTATCCGATAGGTTTGCTCAGAAGAGGCAATTTTGTTTAAGTTGTTTTTGCTTATCTTTATTGTATCATGTGACTGTCTGTGTGGAATCCTTCTTGTTTCAGATATTGGCACTGAATCAGTTTCAGACGATATCGATTAATTATGTTCTTGTAGTTAATTATGTAATTGGAAGTGGATGTTTCTTTTAACTAAAGAAGTTCAAACGCCTGAATGGGGAAGTAACAATTCGAGGGAATTCAGCCATTACCACAAGTAATAGTTAAATGTAATAATCACGAGCATGATGAAGTAATTTTGTCGTGAAGTTTTAGGAGTTAAATTAGGAGCGTACTGAATTGTGAGCATACACCAAAGCGGGTCGAGTCGTCCAGAACACTCTGGATGAATCACGTTCAAAAGAGGAAATATATCACTCAAGTGTTTGTGATCTTACAAGGTCGTGCAAGGCAAGTTATGCATCATGCGTCAACCCCGTTAATGAAGAATACTATTACCAGTTGCGTACCAGGTCAGACACGTCTTACTCAAAGTAATCAGTGTTTCCCATAGCGGCTATAAAACGGCCATCGCCGTGCTTCATGCCAGTACGTGGTGCTCAGGGATATGAATCAGCTGTGGGATAGCATCAGATGGTAAATATCTGTGCACGATCCTTAATTTTGTTTACCAACGAAGTGACAGCAGTATGGATTGATTATGATCGGACTCGGCATATCGTTATCAGCGAAATATATTCGTTAATGGAAGGATTTCACATTTATTAACAGCTAAATGGATGGATAGGACGCGATAGCGCCATATGTGGAAGAGTGACAAGCGCAGGGGAATTGTCCCTGAAAATGCAGAAACGCTGTAAAAAGTCCAGGCCATTGATGTTTAGTATAAGGTAGAGAAGAGTGAGTGTTGTGCGGTGATTGTATTGTTGAACAAAACTCACGCATGACAATAGTCTGTTGTTTTCTTTTTATAGTGACACATCTTTGAGCTGTGCCAATGGAATGCACCCTCATTATAGCAATCCTACATGATAGGCTTCTGTCACTATTCATTAATCAGCAATAATAATGAAAATGAGCGATAAGTTTTAAAAAATCAGATCGTGAGCTAACATAATTTAGATGCTCGTTGATTCCAGCGGAAATGCAGAAATCAGTGATATCACCATGCTTTTTTCTTGTCTTCCCTTCATGTTCCAAGCTGATCGAAGAATGGCTGCACCCCTTTCAACGAAGTGTACTTCCAGATGATCTAAACGATGCGAACGATCAAGAGAACGGTAAAATTGGCTCAGACGCTGCAGCATCCTCATTATTGAACATCTGTCTCTACCTCTCATATTCTACAGGAAGCCGCACAGTTAAGAGAAATCGCAGGCTCTCTCAGATGCAGCTCAGTAGCTATCTCGTGAAGGCTCACAGACACTGGCCGCTAAAATTGCTGACGCCTTCCAGCGTCTGACTCCTTGCTCTAATCTTTTCGCTTTTCAAACCGTTTCTTCGTGGAACTTTTCCTTTTGCCATTGACTGTTGTAATGATGGTGGGTGGGCACGTGTTTTTTGACACCTAAAACTTGTGAAGGTTCTTGTAGATGGACTGCATTTCAAGTTTGTCAGATGTTAACGCTCTATCGCTGTTCTTCAACACCATTATGATCGAGTGATAGAGCGCTAACTCTCGCCCTACAATGTCTGAGACTTCGGCTGTTTTCTGTAACTGTCGCAATCATAAAGTCTGTAAGTCCTCCTTCACCCTCCAGCTAATGAGCTAGCAGAGTAATGAGTATAACATAATCGTTTTGGTCCTTCTTCCTTCTCCGCTTTTCTAGAAAATTTTAGCAGACTCCACTTCGGCTGACTTTATGCAGCGCCATAGTTTCTTGGCTTGCTTGGCTTTTTGTAATCATGATCGCAGCTGC